TAGGGCTTGAAAATTATAGTGTAGTGACACATTAGATGGACATTTCTTCTTTCAGTGTCAGAAATATGCTCTGCAATTCCTTTTTTTCAAATTATATGTCTAAATGAGGATAATTCTAATACATATGCCTGATAGTGATGAAATGAGCATGGAACTGAACAGGAAATACGCGTATTATGTCTAAACACCATCCATTCCTATGTACTTAAATATTCCGTCATTATTTAGATATCAGGTGACATTACAGACAGTCTATCACAGCATGGGAATTCCCATACGACGACCACAGGTGTCACATAAACAAGTTGAAAAAATGGACACAAATTTAGTATACCTGACATGCATGATATCATTATATAAAGTTGTTAAATGATTAGAATGAAATATTGATGTTTGAATGGTAGAGAGTGTAACTTTGAGCATAACGTCTTTGCGAACCATTGTCCACGTGGAGCAGTGCAATTTTTTGTCGTTCTTCTGAATAAGACGGTTCTGTTAAACGTAATCTACTTTCCGACGACTTTGCTACTGTTGAATCAACTTTTCAATTACCTGTTCATCTTGTTCTTTGTTTCTGAAGTGAATATTATTTGCTTTTTTTCGTTAACTACAACAACTGTGCTAGCTCGTACTTCACATTTTTGTAATTTAGGTTACATTTGAACTTTTACTGACATATTATCATAAAATTAGTAACGTTCTATAATTATGTTAAGGTACAATTAAAAATTCAGTTTTATCCTTATCAAACATATATCACCTTTAAGAATATGTTTTAACTTTCCAATGAGTGTTTCATGAGAGGGAATGGCCATAACCTCGTCCTTACAGAATGTCCTTTGATACTGTTATAATAAATCCTTATTTCAGCATTTACACAATCTGACGCTTTGTGTGAATCCATTACCATCTCATGTTAAATTGTAATCAATTCATTCAAAGTATAAGATTTCGAAAATATATTCATAATTTTTTATGTAAATTAAAAAAATTAATTAATTTTTCGTTCTTATAAATTGTTTATCATAATCTGGAACTGGGCTAAGTCCGGGTAACGATCATCAGCGACATAAAAGATGTCGGTTGTTGTTGAAAAAATGAGCACCTTGATGTTTTGTTTTTGTTTTATTTTATTCAACGTACGCGACATAATACTAACAAAGGACATTCGTGTGGACAGAGTTATGGGTGGTCTGTACACAAGCGTAGACGTCGGCAGTGAGTAAGGTTACGATTAGAATCGAGAGGACATTTCAACAGCACAGGGAAAATCTACTTAGCAATCTCTACGTAATATCTGGGATTCGTAAGCTCATAACTTCATACATCTAGTTAATCAAACACTAATCGGATAAAACTTGTATTTTAAATGTGATGTATATGTTACATCTAAGATCCCTAGAATATCAACATAACTTTTAAAATATATTCAATTTCCCCTTCTCAAGAGTGATCACGCTCGTCAATATGATACACACATATATATGGACCATGGGCTGGGAATACGTGCCGAACCCCTGTGATCCTTATAACTCAAAATAGTTTCTACTACGAATGCTCCTTTAACAGAACCAAATAATTTCTAATTCCAGCCATGGCGAAAAACAATATCTCTACAATACCTTTGTCAGCATGACATGCTGAAAACTGGAGTACACGTCATAATATGTTATTAATGCCAACTATCAAGACTGTGTTATATCGATACACGTGTGTAATGCGCCAATCAGCTTATTAAATTATTTTGAATTCGTTAAGAAAACTAACTTTGTATTACATGTGTTTTTGTGCCCATAGTTACAAGTATAATTCTTTGTTGGTTCGACTCTACGATGTTAGGTCATTGATACATTACAAGTAATCACGTGACACTTGGCAGCATCTGGCTCGTGTAACGGGGACCCTTGTCACCGGTGACAATAATTTGCTTCATTTCTAAGACACGTAAAATGTACGATTTATAAAGGGTTAGAGGTAGACGGATTAAGGTCGGTTCGCAGTGGTGATGAAACTGTGTTAGAAAGACATTCCAAACACCGGTTGATGTGTTCTAAGAATACTAATCAGAACGAAGCAGCTAATTTGGAGCGAAATGGGTTGTATTGATGACTATTGTGCTTAAAGTGGGAGATAACGTACCGAGATACGACAAGGCGTTGATAGTTTAGGCTGAATTACTACACTTTTTGTGTTGTTGTGTGCAATGGAAACGTACAACTACACCTTATAATGCTAACATGGTGTTTATTATCCATATATCACACCACTATATCGCCTATACATAACCATACCGTGAACATGTTACGACAATTCATTCTACATTTCAATGATTACAAGAATTGATTACTCCATATCTCTCTCCGAATTTGATGTCATTGTTCTAGATTTTTATGTAATTGTTTCAATTATGGTACAAATAAAACTAGAATTAATTAAATATATTACAGATTGGTTTACGTATATCCTACAGTTTATTTTGCTCTTGGTGTACATTTGTACAGGATGTATGTATTTTATACGAAATTATGCCCTATAGTATAGCAGTGTTAGTTTGGTGTTTATAATGAATGTGGTGTTGGTAGCTGTTTACTTCAATCATAAAATCCTCAAACGTTCCTATGTAGCTTGGCTTCGTTATCGCTATATAACTAGATTATGGTACTTTTCGTAATTAAAATTCCTTCGTCAATTTACTGTAGGATTCATTGCTCAAGTGAAAAATATTTTGTCAATCAACACTAGAATTTGAACGTGTGTCTGTCGGTGTCCCTACGTCTCCATGGCTTGTCATTTGTCTTTATAAGCCATGCAAAGACACGTAATTGTCTTTGTTTAAATAACGAACAACTATCTGTCACTGATATCAACAGTAGGTAATCTGTGAAACCGACTGGTGTAAGAATGTTTCCGTTAAAGACTACGGTCCATATTTCGTTTTTAAGTTATCTTGCTACTATTAAACCACGAACGTATGTATTAACTTCAACGAAAACAATTCACACCATCAATTTATGAACACAAGAAATGTATAAGTCTTTAGGTGTACTCTTAGTCTAGTTTTTAATGACGAAAAATTTGTAAAGAGTTTCATAAAATTTCCTGATGAAATGAAAGCTGATATCAAATTCATTTTACACTATATCAATATTTTTTCAAAGATATTACGAAAAGGGACTTTTCAATAAGTCACGCCAAGTTGCCTCCTTTTGTGTCTCATTATATAATTTACAAGCGTATGACATCATTGTATTACCATTTTTTTTAGGTCACGAAAGGTGATATTATCTAAAATTGCACAAAGGACACATTAATGTCCAAAGTGTCTTTACAAATTAGAATTAGATATGGTAGAGCCAAATAATCAATTAAACTGCATCATACAGCTGTTTTGTCCTTCTATGTCTCGCCAGTGATACTAGAGTCTAAATTTTAAAAGCTATTAGGGAATATCCAAAGCGCACTTGCTTCATATTTCAAGTTTCATGTGTCTGATAATTTCAAAAGAGCGTCAAGTATTCTGACCGTGCCACTTTTCAAATGAATTAAATAGAGGCATGTGGTTACACAAACCTCGGGGACTACAAAATCCACCATTAGTGTCTACCACAAGCTATCTCTAAGATTGTACAAAAAGGCACACAAGTGAATAGCGCCTTTCAATACAAATTTAGAATTAGATCAAGTGGAGCCAAATAACCAATTAAACTGTATCCTACAGCTGTTTATTCCGTCTAGGACTTACGTCAGTGATGCTAAAGACCTAAGGAATATAGTGTATTCAATGACAATCGAGAGAAAAGAAGACATAAAACTCATTCTCCCTTTTTCATGCATGACACCAATCCTAGTCTTTAATCTTCAGTATCTGCTCTTAAATTTGTACCAAAAGGTGCTATTAACATATGTGTCTTTTCTGCAATCTGCTTCCTCTTCACTGATGCTTTATTTTCAATCTTTACAGCTATTTGGTGATAAGATTTTCGTGAATCTTGTGCTGTATCTGTATAAAGAAAACAATAAGGAGAAAAATATCAACATGTTGTTGTAGCAGCAGCAAAGTTTTAAATTAAGATTTTCCCAGTGATATCATTTAATGAGTACAGGCAATCGCGCCTAGCTTTTCCGAATGCAAGGAATAAATATGAAACTAATTTCCTCATAAACAAAGTTATGTAACACGTGGATGCGTGATATTGTAATAAAACCGAAAGAAATTGGGTTACGGATATAGCCTGATAATTAAATAATTATTATGATGCGACTTCTTAATTAATCTAGGGCGATGTATCATTGCAACTTGAAACTAACCAACTCACATGTTAATCAAATTGAAATTAAAACTTTTTTTGTAAAAAAATTCTATAGAGAATTTGAACCTGTATTTGTCTGCAAGGTCACAAACAGATACCTGCAGCTTCCATCTTCTGCTTTGGTTACATTTCAGCAGCTCGCGGGTTTATAAATAAATGGCAACAAGGCATATCAGGTTCTGCAATATATTTGAATAGGAAAGAATGCCCAAAAGGAACAGCTCGTACTGTAATATGAGATATTTTATTCATTTTAACAGTTCATTTACTTTTCCATTAATCTGAACCACTTTTCTACTCATTGAAACAATACCTTTCTTTGTCTAAAATTATGGTGAAATATTTAATATCAACTTTATTTCATTCATAAGCATATTTCAAGAAATCGATCTGGATTCGGATAAAGTATTCCACACTTATGTAAAATCCGTCTAAAGCAAGAAACACATTCATTTGTATGGGGGATGGTGATGTTGTATGCATATAAAACAATATTAATAGAAAATTGGAAAGTAAGGTATGGAGGAGTGGGAAGGGACAGTTGCCAAGCATGCCACTGCAATGCTTCACTTAAATAGTTATCTTTGTTTCAACAAAGGAGCCAAAATCTCGGACGCTCCTCTAGTAACAGACATTGTTTTTCACATTACATTATCACAACAATATTATGACTTTCTTTTTTTTTCACAGTTGATGCTCTTATGTGTGTCCAGTGTAGCACCATGGTTCAGAAAGGGAGACAAGCCTGTCTTACCGGAAATGTAATTCCAACCAATTGCACAAACGTAAACCAAACTTCCTGTATTAAATACGAGGGTGTTCTCAATGGAAGTAAGTGTTTGGAGGTGGTCACAACATTAAATAGCCTATGTAACTTTAAATGAAACAGACAATGCCTACAAGACGCATTATTCGTGTTCTCTACCACTGATAAAAAGATGTGTAAAACCTCTTCTCAATTGGAACATTTTTTTGGGGGAGGAGGGGTGTGTGTGTGTGGGGGGGGGGAGAGATCTATTGGTATATTTAATATACTGTTGGGTGGTTTGGCAAATAATTTCATTTTCTTGTTTAGACAACTCTCATGATTTCCAAATAGTAGAAGATGCATGTCCTGATGGATGATATAATTAAGATCGCGATACAATTGATCATTTATTTAATAAAAAAATATGTATAGCATTTTCAACAGGATATCTACACTAACTTTTTCTATAATTTATCAATTTGCATGAAATAAACCTTGATTAAGAGTACTAGACCTGTCTCTTAATCTAGCGTGCTAGATGTCATATTTCTGTCCCCAATTAGATAGTAGAGAGGAATTTCTATATCTCTAAAGTTACGAAGGGAGTTTTGAAAGGTTGAATATAATACACCTTGTCTGATTTCATTGCCTAACTGGTTCCTCGGTCGGATTGTACAGTGAAAGGAGGACTAACTTGTGAGTCGCACACGGACACAGAATAATCGTAGTCATTTTGAAGGTTATAGTGTGAATTTTCTTAGACTTAAGGTACAATAAGAACTGTTAGGAAAGCAGGTGTTCGATTTTTTTGTAGTTTTGTACAAAAGCAGTAATTTTCTTCTTGTCACGTGTCGTCTATGTAAACATGCTTCTAATCTCGGTTGTCCCGTAATCCGCGAGCAGTCTCTAGCTAAAATTTCTTTAGTTTGTCTGCAGTAGGCTGAATAGCAATATATTTTGTATATAGTGTCTATTTTCTCAGTACTTTCTTGATCTATATATGTTTGTAATCTTCATATATATGGAGGAAATAAAGATATCTATCTATGTATCTGCAGTAGGCACGCCATCCTATACCTCGCAATAATATTCTAGCAATAGAACAGTATATTTTTATATTCTATATAATGTTTGTCGATTTATCATGTATTTCAACTTGGGCATAACACAAATCTGCTTTAACATTTTTTTTTCTTTCCTTTTTTTTTTTTTACAAAAAAACGTCAGTAGGATATGCTCATTTACAATTTTCGTCTAATGAAACTCACGGGTGTCTATTATAATTTACAAACTATACGCTTCCAATATTGAATTTAATATCTACCATCAAGTCTAATTAAGGGTTATGAATAATTAGTGACCCTGTTTCTGTAGGATTGTTTTTTACTAACCATTTTCCCGCCTAATTTTGAATCTTTTCTAAATCACCATTAATAATAATAGAGACGTGGTCTAGAAGACGTGATAATGTTAATTTTCCAATTCCCCTATTACAAAAACATTTTACAATTCATAGTATAATGCCTTGATATCAATGTACATTTGTGGTGTACACTGCGGTCAATGCAGTAGAGCATGGACAACAAATTACATAAATACTACTCGGTAAAAGCTCTGATATTTGTAGTGTTTTCCAAAGCTGAACTAGCTTAAATACAGATTCCCCATCAACCTTTCCAGTTATCATGTTAGGTGTTAGATTGATGGTGATTGGGTCCAATGAAACACCACCACAGAAAATGCTCAGTAATTCTTTTCTTTTTTGTTCAATATATTTTTTAGTGAAGTTCGTGTTCCGAGATTGTGACCATGGTGACTCCGCGGATCAGTGCGACGAGCGGGAAATAGCAGACGAGAAAGTGAGCACATGCACGTACAGATGTTTCCGAGACGGCTGTAATGTCGCCACAATTTCCATAAACGATCCATTCGTCAGCGTGGTGTCCATTACTAGCTCATTGCTGTGGACGTTAATGTATCTGAACTGAACGAAAATCGGTCTTAATCTCGCTCAGGGACGCTATAGATGATTGATGAGGGAGATTTCGATAAAATCCATTCCAACAGACAGCCTTTGGATTATAATCAAGTTTATGTCTCAAAAGTTTGAGAAAAAATTGGGTTAAAATTTCAAGTGCAATTCATGACACGGATTGAAAATATCCCTAAGGACACACCTACCAGTTTACATAATGTGTGGTTTCAGTTTTTTTATGTCCTATAAATGAAGTTGTTTTGATAATTAGTATATTTGAATGTGAATGTAGGGCACCAGTTATACGTAAACGTACGAAATAGATTGATGTTCTGTGTTACAGTAACTGCACTTTTCTATCGGAATTTTCATTTTAAAATATATCATGATTTTTCTCCAATAGACCTTTAATATCTAAGTGATTTTAGTAACGTTTACTTATGGTACATACTGACCTATGGCATTGTGATTTCATATAGAGGACTTTTAATAAGTTTTCATTTCACAATTTGTCTTTATGCCGTTTTAAATAGCGAGTCCCTGGCAACTTATAATACATCTATCACGTGACAAAAGTTTATATGTTAAACATTTACGACATTGCTTATTAGTGTATTATTGAACTTAACAGATGCGCAGAATAATAAATTAGTGCAACCAAATTCAATATTTCCAACTGAACAGAATAAATAATTGAAATTTTGTTTATAACAATGGTTTCAACATGAAAGGAGCTTAAAAACACCGCTAAGGTTTTGTAGGCAAACTTATCTAAATTCAATTATTCTGATTTAAAATTTTTAATGTTGCATTTTTTCTATACTTTGGTAGGAGGTATACGGCATTGTTAGACAGTAATCTTCAAATGCATTTTTGTAGTATATTTTATTTGTGATTTCTGAAAATTGAAAACATAAAGCATTTTTGGAGGGGTCATTTTTTATCAAAATTTCATGGTGCATACGTTAAAAATCACCTTTTGATTATATAAGAAAATAGGAACCTCCTTGATTCTATCTATTGCTTCAAGGAGACTTTCTGAAAGTAGTTTCAAGTATTATTGAAACAACAAGAAAAAAGTTAATGTAATCAAAATCAAAACTCAAATTCAATACAACTATGGTAAAATATGAACAGAAGAAAAATGTGCATGCAGATATGTATAAAGATGATAAGGCGAGTAAGCCTGTTCTGCTTCATCGACGACACTACTCCGCCATGTACATCTTGGTGAATCCAAGTCAGTAATGTCACGTTCTCAAATCAGAATAAGATCTGAGAAATAAATTAGCTCTTCTCAAACAATAGCGACAGTTTCGATTTTCTCAGGGCCTCATCATACATAAAGAAGCCAAAATAATGTGTCCATGTTTCCTTGGAGAGTAGTATACATACATTCACACACGAACAAAATATATAGGCATGTTTGGTTGTTTTGAAATTGATAACGAGACAGTACTTTGTATCTTGTATATATCAAATCGATCTATTAACCGAATTTAAATGGTTTTTTTTCTGTAGATTATGGTTAACTGATCGAGACGATTTGAATGGGAGAGGTTTTTTTTAGGGCAAAAATCCTTTCCTTAGCGTTGTTACCTTAGCATTATTCTGAAAATTTCAATTTAACAATGAAATCTTTCTAATAGGTTAAAATCCGTGCTGGTGGACCGAAGATGTAAACTATGCTGTTAGTGTTTATTTCATCGAAAGTTACATAAAAACGTTGATGTTACGGTAGAGAAAAAGAAGACAATATTTCACCTGCCTTATCGAGATTAAAGCTCAGATCATATCTACAAGTGATGTCCATTTCACTCCGTTTCTAACGGATTTATTTGTTTTTCCATCTAGTGTGGTTTCCTCGGTGTTGTAAAACTTTTTTGTAATATGGATTTGTCCTATTTAAAAACCTGTATATTTGGTACAAACCGTTCGTTATATGTATGTGTTCGGTTATTACAGGTTTCACTGTAAATATTGTGTACACCTTTGTTTTGGATTGTGTTAACTTTGTGTTACAATAGAGCCTTGTTACTCCAGCCTCGGGAAATTACATCTCTCCAACAAATTTTATGGGATAAATTGTCCTGCTTTTTATACATGACAATGTTGTTACACAGCTCTTGTGTTTGGATTTCCGAGACTCTATTTACGAGTGCAGGATTCGTAATTGATTGTACCCTTTCTCTCTATGTACGTAAATTTCTCGGACTGCGGCAAGTCTACCTCTAGTGCGACCAAGGATGGGCAAGCTGGAAAAGAGTTGTCTAGACATCAAATTTGAAGGACAAAAAATTTAAAAAGATAACAAAAGGGGATGGGAAGGAAAAACGGACATGAGGACGAGAAATTTTTCGTGACCTGAGCAAGAATTTGGTTTGTTGAAATTCGACATGAGGACGAGAAATTTTTCGTGACATGAGCAAGAATTTGGTTTGTTGAAATTCGTCCTCTCGTAACAATTGTCGTCCTTTCTTCATATGCATGCATGATATTCATTTATATTGAAATCATTGAATGACTTCCATATGTCCAATTATCTTAATTTTGCACTGTAAATAAAATTTCTTTTTAAAATGTCGTGTGTTTTAACTGTGATGTATAAAAAGAAAAAGAGACACATTAATTTGACATGAAGACGGCGGCGGATATGTCAAGGATATTGGGGGAGTGGGCTTTGCCAGAAAAACCCTCACCCCTTTCCCCCGATCAGCCAATCAGCGCCCCTCCCCCCTTATCTCATCTTTGCAGTGTCTATGATAACCTGCTCAAATCATATATAAATACTGTAGTAAGTATAGATACAGACATCCAGCCGGGGACTAAATGAAAAATGAAGTATGTTGGTTTTTGTGAGGTGTGCTCAATACTTTTCAGTAATTAACAACGGACCTGGTGCAAAACGTACAACTAATAGGGCTTATTGATAAGTTATCAGCCTTTCATTTGAGAGGGTTTTCAGTTCTACTATGCCCTGACTATTTTAGGCTGTGTACCCGAAGACTGATGTCATTTAGTCAGTTTATGTCGAAGAGGTAGCTCTCTAACGCAATGCAAGTGCTTTTTGCAAAATTGACAAAATCGCTGAAAGAGCATTGATTCAATATTTGCATAAGAAAGGTCTAGCACATAAGGATATCCATACCGATATGGTAACAACACTATGGAATGATGCCCTTCATATGCTACAGGGAAAAGGTGGGTGGCGAAAGTTAAGCTTGGCAGACAGAGCCTTGGGGATGACATCGTCCTGGAACCTGGCACTGTTGCAACATCAGTAATGGTCAATAAAGTCCATGATATTGTTATGGCTGACAGGCGAGTTACAAAGCGACACATACCCGGTACAATTTGGATTTCACAGGAAATAGTACATTCCATTCTTACGGAAGATCTTGCAATGAGAAAGCTCTCAGTCCATTGGGTACCAAGACTTCAGACCGTTAATCAGAAGCACACCAGGCGGACTTTGTCGCGCGCTAATACGAACCTTTTAGAGGTAGATCCTGCTAACTTTCTGCATAGGTTTATGACCAAGGATGAAACATAGGACATCATTTCATCCCAGAGGCTAAACAACAGTCTAAACAGTGGAAGCACCCTGATTCACCCCCGCCAAAGAAGGCAAAAACTGTTCCATCATCTGGAAAGGTCATGGCCTCAGTTTTCTTGGATGCTGACGGTATTCTGATGGTAGATTATCCGCAAAAGGGACAAACAAAACAAAAGCACATATCATTTATCATTTCTTAGGCAGTTAAGAGAAGATATCAAACTCAAGCACCGCGAAAAACTCAGAAAAGGTGTGTCGTTGAATCAGGACAATATTCCTGTTCAGAAGTCTGTCATTGCTATGGCTGCCATTAACTGCGGTTTTGAATTGATTGAGGATCCACCTTATCGCCTGATCTCGCTCCATAAGACTTTTGTCTATTTCCGAAATTTAAAAAGGTCATTTCTGGTACCCACATTCGGTCAGATGATGACATTGTACATAATGGCATAGAGGCCCTTAAACATTGGTGGCAAAAATGTATAGATACTGAAGTGAATTATTGAAAAAAATAATGCAATATGTCAAACCCTTGGATATGAAGCTCACAACTTATCAATCGGCTCTCGTACAAGCATAAATGAATGTAAACCGTGAGCTTCTTGAGTTTTTTTATATGTCTAAGGGCCATAACTCTGGAAAAAAGATATTTCAACCGGAATAATACATCAGCTTGACCTGTATCTTATCATTATACAAATACATACCAAAATTCAACTCAATTACTTCATATACAGTATATTAAATGAACGGAAACCAAATTATGCCGAAGTGATGACGGAACGACAGCGAAGGGCGACGGCGGGATATAACACTAACAGATAGTAATTGAATTCGGAGATAACGACCCTCTATCTAGTCTTTACCGCATCTATTTGAAAATAAAATTGGGAATAAACTTCAATGTTTGTCAACGGAGAACAGTTTGAATGACACTGTCTTGGGAGTTATAGACACACGTTTCCGTTAATACCGACATACATTTCAAAAATAAGGTGCGATGATCTATATTTCTAAGACACTTCTATGTGAAAAAAAGGGTTATCAGACTCATTGCAATTTTGAAATTGCTGACGAAGTGTAGATGTCTTTGACAGTCAAAGCCCATATTAGGTATACTGGCGTCGTTCTAAACGTCACATTACATTTATGCACAAAGTAAAGAATAACTTTTTTTCTTTTGTTTTTATAAAACAGAAAAAAACACTTTTTGAAATGCTGATCTGGAGGCGTTGGTTTGCCTTCCTTGTAAGGCTGCTGGCAAAAATGACTAAAGCCAATTAAAAATGGCATTTCTCCGTTCAACCTTAGAAATATGCTACGCTTTTGTTTTTTTGTAATTAAATGTCTAAATAAGGATTTTTCTTCTATATGTGCTTGCTGTGATGAAATAGACTTGGTAATTGAATAGAAAAAAATACACTTTATTGTCTTTATCTAAAAATTCTGCCACTCCT